CACACTACGTGTCATTAACGGGGGGTTTTATGTGTTTATTTTGACAGGTCGCGGGATGCTTTTTAGCCATTTGACACATAAACGAAGAAGAAAAACTGAGGTTAAAGCATCCAACACGAAAGAAAAAACAGGCAGCAGGAGGAGGAGGCCTGCTCTCAGTGGCTGGATGAAACAGGCCTGTGCTCATAAGTAGACATTTTAAAACATATGCAAGTCTCTGACGGGGGAGAAAAAAAAATCTCCAGCGGTGGATTAGCACCGGAATGCAGCGGAGGCACAAATTGTTGCACCGTGGTGCCTCCAGCTTGCATAACGTGAAAAGGTGCGTTTGAACACAGCACCGAGTGAAGCGAGCAGAAAATTAGCGTTTAAATGCTAATTTCTCTTCTTTTTTTTCTAAAGCGGACTAGGTGAACTAGTGCCCACCTAAAACATCTGCAGCTGCACGCAAACGCGAAGCAAGTCGGTCCAGGCTGGAGCCACGGCGGGTTTCAGAGGCTCTTAACGCGGCTCGACCGTTTATTTACCGCCGCTGCCCTGTCGACGGTAACCGGCTCTCTCACACACACACACACACAGCACCGTGTCCTACCTGCAGTCGCTCCGACGCGGGTTGCCACATATTAGCAGAATCACGGGGTCTCCGTCTTTAACCACAGCAGCAGCAGCTTCTTCTCTTTTCGTAGTCCGGTTCACATCTGTTCGCCTTCACAGCTCGCCTCTCTGTCCTCCTTCACTCTGGACGGCTCGGTAATGAAGGATGTGTTGCTCCGCCTGGCTGCAGCTCTCGCCGCCGCCAGCAGGTGGAGCTGCCCCGCTGTCTCTGCTCAGTCTGCCGCTGCGTTCAGGTGCTGTGGGAAATCCAGCTTTCAACACTGTGGCTGTTGATGAGAATCTTTTAAAGATTTATTTTATTGTTGTTTTGTGGTTGTTATTGTTAAACTTGAAGGTGTGAAATAAAAGCTCTTAAGATATAAAGATATCTACCTGTGTCATTCCTCAATCCCCACAACTAGCTGTTACAGTCCACTCAGAATTTAACTGAGCTGTGAGCCATACCAGGAAACAAATTCACAATTTCCAAGTTTAATTTTTGGATAAATTTGCTTCCAAAGTGAGCAATTCCAGACAAGCAGCTGCCTCACAGACAGTCTGAGATGGTGAAAGCTTTAGGACAGATTTGAAACCAATATGGGTTACTGTGTTTTTATCTCACCTTCAATGAAACCTAAACTCAGCCACTCTTGCATTTATTTGCTTCTGTCATGCCTGTGCTCACACCACATGCTGCATTTTTATACACCAAAATTCCTAATAAAGCTTATTACGCTTAAAAATATCATCTTCCTTGTGTGACAATCACAGTTTTGATAGTGTCTTATGTGGTAATACTCCATCAGGTTTTATATCTATTACATAGTGAATATCAAACTGAAGCAAGACTTAAAAAAAAAAAAAAAAGACATTATAAATCATATCACAATGTCTGTCAGAAAAATATCATTTAGGCCTAGTTCAAATGAAGGATAACAGTCTAAAAAAGAAGGGATTAGTGGCAAGACAGATTTAAACAATATCATTGTATAATTTGCTCTAAAAACATCCCTTCATGCACTAATCAATGTGTTATATTGAAAATAGTTAAATGCTAAATGATATAAATGAGTCAGTCATGAACCCACAGAACTTTCTTTCCAAATTCTGCAGCTCTCGCCATGGTGAAGCAAGTTTACATCATCCCTATCGAGGCATCTAAGCATCTTGGAGAACTTGTCGTGGTTTCTCTGTGGATGTAGGCTGTCTAAAGTGCTGAGAAAAATGGACAGTATGGATGGATAAGCATCTAAATAACGTGAAAATAAACTACAAGTGCATTTCTAAATGATCAAATAAAGCACATTTTATAAAAACACAACTGAAGCATTGGTGCCAGTGTTTTATATGAATGTCCACCTTGAAGTAGTTTATTAAAAGTAGTAAAGCAACATAAACTATTAATGTTTTTTCATCTGAACCTCAAAAGACACCCCTAAAGATATTTAACACCCTTACAAAGACGACTTCAAGGCCTCAGAAGATTAGTCATTCAGACCAGTGAAACCAGTCGGTGCAGGAATGCAATTAAAAGGAAATGATCATAACATAAATGGAATGGCATTATTTCAGTGGCTAGTGGCAATAAAACCGTGGTTAGTTTAAAGCTTTCATTCTCATAATTCCTAAGTTTCACAAAGGCAGCTAAGGACAAAGAATCCCATGCCCACACATTTTGATCTGCTTAAGCTCCTAAAAAACAAGCTGTACCAAAAACATTCAGTCCGTGTGACTGTTGTGAACTGAGATCGGCTTGGAATTACCTTGTTATTCTGAAGCAAGGTTCTGGGAATCCACTGAAGCACCATCCATTATTTTGGAGAAAATGCTGAATGCATCATTTTTAGTGCTGCCAAAATTTTTATACTGCAGGGCAATAATTTCGGTTTTTTTTTTCTAAAAGGGATAAAACTTTATAATTAAACTCCTCTCCAGCCAAGCTGTGAGTTCATCAAGGTAGAGGCCTTAAAATCAGCAGAATCTCTGTAATAGACAACGCCTTGTGGGAACTGAGTCAAGCCAAACAGCAAACAGTCTGACCCTCCAGAGCATTCAGAGGCCAAAGGTCAAGCCCAAGGCCTCCAAACCAGATCATAAGCAAAGGTGAGAGACAGCAGTGACATCTGGTACTCCTGCAATGTGTGTGTACGTCTTGTTCGAGTACACACACATAATATGTGTAGGTGTGTTGAGCGACATGACTCCACGGTCGCAGTCTGTATTTAGACATGTTTACATGGGGGGACATCTGGATAAAGCCTGAGGTCACCGGGGGTGTTCACGTTACCAACACTCCATAAAAGGGCTTTCCCACGCCTGATGTTTCAGTCTGGTGGGTATGACCTTGGGACAGAAAAACAGACGCTGCAGATAATCAGGATCCGCATTTTTAAAAACACTATTTAATTCTTGCAGGCCAACATTTATTGCTGCATGCTATTTGTCATCTAATCACAGCTGACTTAAGGTTGCTACTTATTTGGTGAAATATATGCAGCTGGTGCACATCCTTTACTATTGTATTGAAACTGTCATTGAATAAAGACTCAAAAATTCAGATGTTGCATTTCTTATTCATGTTTCAATTGAAATTAGATTTTTATGTTTTGTTAACTGGACAAAAAATGAAATTAACGCCAGACAAGACTATTTTTATTCAGCTAATGTTATGTATAACACCTTGTGGATAACATAGTTTTCACAAGTTTTATAAAATGTGGCTTTTATTCCGAAAAAAATGTTTTGAGTAAAATTGGGAAAACATGTTCATATTTCTCTAATTAAAAACTATTGTTTCAGCAAAAGTACTGAAATCCATCTAGCACACTGGTACTTGTATCATAAACTGTCGAATAACACTCTGCCCCCAAATACGCCGCATGTCATCCAACAAATTGTTGCAGAAAACAAATGTGTCTGGAGGATTAGATAGGTTGTTGACCCTGACGCAGGCCGAGGTCAAAAATATCTTGTTTGCAGCTGTGATATATGGATTGGTGGTAGTCTGGTGTACAAGGCTGGAGGGAAAAGAAAAAAAAACAACTTGGTTTCAAGGTGATTTACAAAAAGCACTTTGTGTTATCACTACAGGGAATGAAGAAAACACAACATACCTAAGTTTGAGCCAGAGTTCACACAAGACACAATGTGAGCAGAATATGTTTCACTTGAATCTTTATTGTTTACATAATTCAACATAGATAATAGGTAATCATGTCGCCGCTGTGTTTAAGATGAGGGAAAAAAATCGTAGGATAAGCTGAGCCTATTGGTAGAACATTGCTTGACCTTGAGAGGAACAACACAGCTGCACAGACAGAACGTTTTTTCCATTGGCAGAACACAGAAGCACATATATTCTGGAGTAGATATCTTCTCTGTCAGTCTGTTTTTTTCCTCTTTTCCACCCCAAAGCCTGCAAGAGGGCAAACAAACTCACATCCAGAAACTATTCAACGCTGTCAATACTAGAGGTGAATTTGTACACTGGGGAAAACAGGTACACTGAGTAAAACCAATTATTTTTCTGTGCAGTGAGAAATATACCTACCTACTATCCTAAATATCACTGAAATACATACAGTAGGATGGTAGGGTCACGGTACTCCAGCAAACCCACTTTCTTTACTATTCATACACCACTGAGAAACTTGCATGTAAAGAACAGGACAATATGTATTTTTAAAAAAAGAAAAATTCTGTGACTAGTATTTTATACCTGTATGTATTTTATCTACTAACCACAAAATACCCAAAAGAAAAGATTTTTGGCACAATCCTGACAGAGATAAATACAACGGCAATGAAAAAGGAGCAACCAACAACCAAATACAAAGGGTTTTAAAATATTGCAGAGAGAACATCAAATCTAACCATGCACGAAGTAAGGCAACCTACTGCAGATGTTTATTTTTTTCTTTTTAAATATAGAAAAAGATACAGTGTATGCACTATGAGAAGTGCACCTATTTCTACAACACCTGTAAGGACTGTTGTCAGCACTGTCTGCTGAGTTTAAGCTTAGAAACGTGGGCTCCTGGGTTGCTGGCCTCACCTACAGACAGACAGTCTGGTGCAGACTAAAGTCATCACTCTATTGTACAGCAGAGGTTACTGGTAGTGTTGCCCATCATCAATAACTTAAGTAATGCAAAGTATGCTCTTATGCTACAATAAAGCCTTATCATGGACTTTGACAGGAAAATAGATGTATCAAATTCCAGATGTGTTCTTTTTAAACTACAGTGTGTGTTTTTGGATTATTTTTTCTCCACTTTACATTCAGTTTTGTTTTGCTGTTATTCTTTTTTTTTGTTTTTTCTTAGGAAATACTTTCATATTTATACTGACTTTATGTATGTGTGTGCATGCACATGTGGTCATGTGCAGCTGCATGTGTACAGCTTGTGATGGCTGTGTTTTACAAATCCTTTGTCTTGATGAGAGTAACCAGCGGCTTGTCATCAGGACTGTAGTCTTCATAGGCGATGGGAGTGGCGTCGTACATGGCGGGCCTGGACTTCTTCCCGAATCTAATGCGAAAGTATAAAAACCAAATGTTCATCAGTGTTGCGAAACCAAATGCTGTTTCCTAAAATAGCTGTGAAAACCTTGTGGTTGTAGTTAGTGAACAAGAAGTTCTATTAAAGAGGCATGGCAGTGATTTAGTGTTGAATGTTAGTGGGGATACACAAAAGGCAGACAATAATAGAGGAAAATTGTAAAATGATGGCTTTCAGCTTTAAAAATGCATTATTTTTCATTTCCCACAATGCAGCTCAGTAAAGTTTTTTTGTTTGAGTCTGCCTGCCTCTTAAATATCCCTGTGTTTTAAACTCAACATTCAGGTTGCCATTAAAAAGTCATTTTGCTTAACAAAGGGTAATGATCTGCAAAAATCTATCTCCTTAAGTATAAGGTACATTGATCCATCCTTTACAGGAGGAAAGAAAATGATGCCGTCCCTAGTTCTGTGTGGCAGCAACATTAAAGCAATGTACCATCCACGGCAGATCAACAACATCCACAGTTGCATCATTATGTAATTTAGTGTAGATTGATCCTTTTGACACGATAGTTGTCTTTTCCTTTATCTGTATGAACTCTCCTTCACGTGTTTCCTTGATCTCGTGAGATTTACCTTTAACGTCAAGGTAAAGTGTTTAGGGAAAAGGATGTGATGTCATTTTTTTTTGATTATTCAACTACAACATCCACAGATTGTAAATTAGGCTGTCAGCTGATTAAAAACATTCCAGGAGATATCCTGCTTTCAGAGACAAAGTAGTACTCCATGTGACTTGTAAACTGGCTTAAATTTTCCAGCTTACTTGTGACTTTACTAACATGTTCTAAAGCTTTCACACATACCACATGGTCTACAAGAACCAGTAAAATGGACCAAGCACACCTTGAGTTGAGATTGTTCTGTCAATAACTAAACAGATCTTTTACAGCAAAAATTATGAAAATTTAAAAAATGGAAAACTGATTTCTTAGCAGCTGCGAGCTGAATGCAAACCGATCATTAAAATGCGTCAGTATATACCACAAAAGTACCAGCACATAAATGTCCACATAAAGCTGTGTAGTGACAGAAAATACAAAACTGTCCTTGACTTTGTTGTTAATCAATTAGTGTTTTTAAGTGTCCTGACCTGGCGTGGCGGATGGAGGCTATAGCATTGCTGAACTCGCTGTCGATGCTGCGGCAGTTGTAGAACTCCTGGTAGGCATGGCGGGATGAGCCCTGGTACTCGATGCGGCTGATGCGACAGATGCCCACAATGAGGATGATGAGCATGAGGACGAAGGCCACGCACAGAGCTCCGATGATGATGTACAGGGAGTGGCGGGGCATGTTGGTCAGGGTGTCCTCAGTGTGTGCTGGTTTCCACTGCAGGTCTGACAACCACACACACACACAACTTATCACATGTCCTGTTTTAGATTAATAGCTGGGGAGACGTTTTCTGACAGGCTGACTTACGGATCTCACAGCTGGGCCCCACCCACCCAGGTGGACAGTGACAGGTGAAGCCATTTGATTGGTCAATGCAGGTGCCTCCGTGGTGACAGGGGTTGCTCTCGCACTCGTTAATGTCGACCTCGCACTTCTCCCCTGAGCAGACAGGTAAGGTTGCATTCAGAAACAGCAAGAAACTGATGCTGATGGGTTACAGCGTGAGCCGAGTGGAGGAACACTTTTGGTAGATGCAGTTTTAAATTCAGTGTTTTGACTGCATTATTTACCATATAGTGACATTCACCTCTATTTTAACCATACACAGCATATTGCAGTCAGTTTGTTGATCGTGGTGTCAGTGCTCACCCAGATACCCAGGTGGGCAGGCACAGGAGGCATTAAGTCCTGCGCTCTCACAGCGGCCTCCATTCTGGCAACGCATCTTCAGACATGGATCCTTGTAGATTTCACAGTGTCTTCCTGCACACACATACAGAGGCCAGTTGCAATAATTCTTCAGGTTGCATGTTTAGTACTGTGCAACTAACCATAAATGTAAAAACAATCTTTTACATACCCTCAAACTGTGGTGTACAGACACACTCATAGGCGTTGATGAGATCCCTGCAGGTGGCGTAGTTCTGGCAGGGTGCAGACAGACACTCATTGTACTCCTCCTCACAGTACAAGCCATGGTAGCCTTAATGACAAATACATACAGTTTACATTAATATTACAGTTTTTAAATAATAAAACACTGCTGCATTAACAATGCACCCCTCAGAAGAAGTTTGACTTCAAGGGTTTAGCTGTAAGGAGGGGAAAGTGTGCGTACCTGTGCAACACTCCACAATATTGGCAAATACTACTGATATTGCAGAAGTTGGAAGCAGTAAACTTGTTGAACGTGGTTACAACTTAAAAGGGTTCCTTGTATTAGAACATTTAATATGTTTAAGCAGTATCTCCTCCCATTCACAAATCACACATTGTCATACCAGGGAGCCTCCCAGAGCAACCATTCATCTGTTGGCCACTAAGGAGCAGAGAGTGTAGTGATACAATAAGTGCCTTCCTCATTCACTGTTCTTGCTCAGAGTCCCTCGAGAAGAGATTTTAATCAGTAGCCTTTTTGTCATGCTTGACACGTGTAACATTACACTATAATAGTACCCTTGCAGAGTTGTTGAGGGGGTCGTGAGAGTTAGACCATTCAGTTCAGGTATGTTCTGTAGACATGGAGAAGGCCATGTCCACTGAAGAACCTTGTGGGGGGTACTTCTGGAGAATGGGGTACCAGGGCTGTTGGCATGAGCCATCTGGTCCTTGTGCAACCAAAGTGAGAGATGTGTTTGTATTCTCGACACAAGGTCAAATATGTTTCCAGTAAGTGTTGGACTCTGCTAGGGTTGCCCCTTGTCTCTGATCCTGTTTGTCACATACATCAACAGGCTCTCAAAGCACAGCGGGAGTGACAAGAGTGTCCGGTTTGGAAAGACTCATGTCTTTGCTTTTTGTGGATGATGTGATTTTGTTGGCTTCATCAGACGATGACCTTCAACATGCACTGGGGTGGTTTGGAGTGAGTGTGAAGCAGCTGGGATGAGATCAGCAAAACCAGATCTGAGGTCATCGTTCTCTGATGAAAAATGGTGCATTGCTCCCTATATGTTGGGGGGTGAGTTGCTACCACAAGCAAAAGAGTTTAGGTGTCTCAAAACCTTGTTCACAGGTGATGGGAAAATGGTGCATGAGATGGACAGATGGATTGATGCAGCATCAGCAGTAATGCAGGCTTTCCACAAGAGCATAGTGCTGAAGGGGAGTTGAGCCGAAAGGCAAAGCTCTGGATTTACTTGTCGGTCTTCATTGCAGGCCTCACCTGTGGTCATGGGTTCTGGGCAGTAACTAAAAGAATAAAGTTGTGGATAAAAGCGACCAAAATGAGATTCCTCTGTAGGATGGCCTGGGCTCAGCTTTAGAGAGAGTGAGGAGCTCGGACATTCAGGACGGCCTCGACGGAGATCACTGCTCCTTCGTTTTAAAAGGAGCCAGCTGAGGTGGTTAGGAGAAGTGATCAGTATGCCTCCTGGGTGCTTTCTTTTGGAGGTTTTCTCAGCAAGTCCAACTGGGAGGAGACCCAGAACTCACTGGAGGGATTACATATCTCATCTGATTTGGAAGTTCCTCAGGATACCCCAGGAGGATGGATGCATGAACGGATAGATGAGGGATAGACTATAGATATCTCTATAGAAATCCAGCCTTGATGTGCTTACCCGACCTATTTTATCCTGAACACGTGACCTCAGACAGGACTTTTTTTTGCAACCTTTATAGTCTATAAAAATATGAAATAATCAAGGAGATGATAAAAAGAAAGTCACTGTACATAGTCTTATTAACTGCCCAGTAAGTGTGTGAATATATTGTAAACCCAGTATGTTGCCAATCAGTGGGACTGGGCACAAGGTCAAATAGCATGCAGTGCACTGTGCTTTCCATAGGATGGCAGCTGTGTACTGAGGCAAAATAAGCCTGCAACTGCTAAAAACATGGTCAACGCATGAATAACAGACAATCAATGCCTCATCTGTATCTATGCAATAATATTTTCAGTCTATAAAGAAAAACACAAAGCGTAATGTGCAGCATATGAGAGAATAAGTGGCTCAGATGATTGTGTTTCATTTGCACAACTTGAGATGTGCAGATGCAGATTCAGGAGGTAAAGTGCTGAAGTAAGCAGTAGAATATGTTTTCTTATTCAGCCTGTTTGTTTTAATACACTCCTACACCAAAAATTTGCCTTCCCGTGTAAAGGAATCTAATGTAATTAAGCTGATAAATAGCTGCAATGTTTGCATATGCACTAATCTCACACATGACGTGCTTTTGCATACCTGCACACACTCCCAACTGTGTTTCATTCAAGTGTTCTACAAACTCAGGGAGAGCCAAAATCACCAGAGGACCGGTGTCTCTTGAGGTGTTACACGAGTAGCGTAGCAATCTGTTTTCATTAGCTCTGCTCCAACTTTAACTGACTATATTTCTCAGTTGGGTCCCAGTGCTGACTAAAGGTTCGAGAAACCCTCCGTGGGCCACAGCTAACGTGTGTTTGGGGAAACAGAAAAGAGGAATTAATGAGGAGCCCAGTTAGAACCTCTAGGGTCCTCCCTGTGAAATGCCAGTGAAATGTCAAGTGCCTTTCCAAGACTCTGTCTGCGTTCTGTGGGCTGGCTCGTGGGCTGGCAGCCTCTCGTGTGAGCTGGATTACAGGAAACTGGAGGACAGATCATTCTACATATCAGCTCCCGAACAGCTTTCTTTTAAACAGCCAACAGGCATTTACAGAACCCCACATATCCACACACTTAGACGAGGAGGGAAGAAACACAAACATATTCAGGTGGTCATATACAGACACAGCGATGCAAACATTCATACACACGTCAGTTTAATATGTCATATAGTACGGTCTTAACCTTAATATTTAACTTTCTAAACCACAGAACCTGGCAGCTTTGAAAGGCACATTATCTTTTTTTTTTAAATCAGCTTTTTAATTATTAATTATTATTAATTATTTTTATTATTATTTGATGTGTCGTTACATCTGAAAACTTAATCAAATCTGAGCTTAATTATGTGCTATTTAATTCATTCTACATAGTTTATCTAAATAGTAAAAAAAAGAAAAAAAACCCACTTACTAGATTCTGTAAAAAAAAAACAAAAAAAAAACACAACAACTAAAAATTCTGTGCTTCTCCATGCAACCATGAAGACATTATTGATTCAGCTGTCAACAACAGTCACATGACAAAAATTCAAAGATTTTTCAACTGAATTGGGTTGAACTGCAGGTTGTGTTTACACAGAGCAAATATTATTGTACTGAAACAAATTGTCACTTGCAAAATTATTGTACATTTTGACTCCATGTTATTTTAAAAACTTAAATAACTAATAAAAGAATTTTTTTCTCCCTTTTTATGATTTATTGCATTATAAATGTGTCATATTGCACAAAAGACATTTTTGAGGTCTCTCTACTGCTTGTCGTGGTTGTGCTGTTTCCATAGAGGTACAGGACTTTATATTGCTGTGACAAATGAGCACACAGTGAATAAAAATATGACAGGAGCAAAAAAAAAACAAACAAGAAACTGCTTGGGGTTTCAGAGGGTGACATTAGTCAGGTAAATTTGTAACATTAATCCTACTTCTCGACTGGAAAACACTTTGGCTCAACGTCTGCTGTACTCATAGCTCAGACATCAGCTAAAATTCTGATGAAATGGAGGCAATGTTGGTATGAAATGCTGTGTGTGTGCATGGCTGTCTGAACACGCAACCGTGTCTTTGTGTGTTCTCTGTAATGTCTGGGACGCTAATTACAAATCACCAATTTCACCAATCCCATTAGACAGGGCCGCCTGAGCGGAGGTATTTGATTGGATGGCAGCATCTGCTCAAGCAGCAGAACCACAAACACAGACAATGGATTGGAGGCAACACACACACACACACACACACACACACACACACACACACGTGCAAATATGCACACTCTTGTAAGTCAACTGCTTCACCATGGCAACCAGACAACAGAGGATGAGAGGGAAGCAAGGTGAGGTAACGGTAGGAAGATAAAGATGAGGAAGAACAAAAGACAAAAATATGAAAGAAATGCAAACCAGAAAAAAAAACAAGATGCAGGCTGTGGTGAAGACACTGTAAGACATCTGAATAAATGGGAAGCAGTGGACGCCCACCCTGCACCACGACAAAGCAAGAGTCAAATCCTTTGAATAAACAAGATGAACACGAAGTAAGGAAGGAATATCAACTCGAATCTTAGAGTTGAAATGTTTACTATCATCCCAGGTGTGAATTTTGAAGAAAAAAGTTGAAAATATCACATTTCAGACGTGTTTCCAAGTCAGTAAGTGAAAATATTCCGCAGGAATACACCTGTCATGTCCTGCATCTATATCGAAGGACTACAACATCTCCAAAGAGTCGAGATGCATCTTTACAACAAGCAGCAATTTCAATTTCTAAATATTTTCTGCCATATTGCAAAAAAGTCAGCAAAAGGAGCAGCTGTATCTACGCTGAAGTAGAAATGAATGAATGGGAGGATCAAATATGAGCTGATGATGGTGACGGCCTCATACATTCGACTGACAGCTGGTGTAAACAGAGAGCAGCGGAGCAAAGTGTCAGATTATGTTGATGGGCCACTGGGAAAGTCATCTATCTCGCCATCCCAGGAAGGTAATTGCAGCACAATGGATAATGATAAGTCATCATTCCACTCAATTGATTTGATCACAGAGGCATCAGCACCAGCGGCACGATCATCCCGTCTAAAAATAACTCATCATTGAGCCAGATGATATTTACTGCTACACTGAGCCTGAGCCAGCAGCACTACAAGCCACCATCCTTTTACTTATCACTAAGCTTTATGTGCTGGTTGTAAAGGCAGATCCGGGAAAGAGATAGAGGCAAAGTGAGGAGTCAAATGTTATCTTAAAGACATCAATAGATATCAAAAGGGTCCAGGAGGCCTTAAAGGAAGTGACTGTAAAAGTCCAAGTACTCTGATGTTTTGTTGTGAACACAATGCGATGAAAAAACATCCATATATTTCAGGTAAAATCACTCTACTCACACAGGAAAATGCTGCTTTATAAAAAAATAAAAAAAAACTCCACCACAGGTTTCTGTTTGAGTTAAACGGTTTTCTGTTTGAGCTAGATAGTCTCTCATTTCTAGCGTGAGCCAAATATTTGATCTCAGGAGCAGTTTTCAGAGTTGGGTTTTGAGTTAAAAATACTCTACTTGGATTAATAACCCGTGTCAGAACTTTTCATGTTTAATTATGTCATTAAAACATCTTTAAAATTACATTGACGCCTTCTCAGAAAGAAGAACTAATCATGCTGTACACCATGTACAGTAAATGGTTATGCAATGCATGGGTACATATGTCTATTTTTGTACATATGATATACATATTTCTGAGACGCTTCTATATATTTTTTCTAGTTTATGTTATAATGAGATTTTAGACATTAAAATCATGTTTGCATATACTGTAGATATATGTAAGTGATTTTGCACTGTATATTTTTTACACCATAGATTTTCTACATTTTTGCCCACTACATATTTTCAATACTGTATTATTTGTACATATGACGAATATTTGAAGAGTTCGTTTGCAAAAACAGATCACTCCATTTTTGTAGATTTTCAGAAAACTTATTTTTTCTGTTGTTTGCTTGAGATGATATCAATCAAACTGAAGTTGAGTGGATTTGACTCAGTAGAAATGACAAAAATAGACATAACTTACGTTTGATTGATATTGTCTCAGGTAGACAATGGAAAAGTGGGTTTTCTGAAGGTTTGTGAAGATGGAGTTATCTGTTTTTGCAAATGAACTCTTCATTTTTATTACCACCTACAATACACTTTAGTACTTATGTCAATGACTTTTGAGTGATGAGAGGAGATGAACTTTATTATCTTGGACTAAAAGTGTACACATACAACAAATCCATAGTAAAATTATTATTATTCTTGCATCTATCTATCTATCTATCTATCTATCTATCTATCTATCTATCTATCTATCTATCTATCTATCTATCTATCTATCTATCTATCTATCCATAGTTTAAGTTTACTTGATGAACTTCACTGAGAAGTAGATAAATAAACATACTTTTTTGGGAAGGGGAACTGAGGTGAACTTGCAAAATACCATGAAAAAGATGCAAAACTAATGCAAGTGACACAGAGGGTTTGGAGGGAACTGCTCAGGTGGGTAGGCGGTGGGATTTATCATTTATATGCCTGTGCTCAAGGCAACTGTCTCACCCATCCACTTCCACTCTTACAGAGACCCTTCTGTAAGTGAGACTGACAAGGATGTGTACCGGCAGCACAAACACACACACATACACACACATACACACTCAGGAATAAATATTTCATCCCATGCGGATGCTGACAACGTTGAGTGGAAAAACAGCAGTTGAGGTCTGATGATTCAGATATTAATTCAGATTTGCACATGAGCTCTGTTTTAGCTTGTTAAGTTTTTCAATAAACAACCAAAAGCACGAGCTGTGCCAACTCTGACTCACTAAATTTGGCTCCTGATGCCGACAACACCGTGACACCAGCAGTCAGCAGCAGCCTAAGCTTTCACTAAAAGCATCGAGATGCGTGACAGTGCAGCTCACCTGGGACGCAGAGACACCTGTAGCTGTTGCCCACACTGCGGCAGACTCCATGAGCGCAGGGATTCAGGGCACAGAAGTCCACCAGCTGGGCACATGTGGGGCCCGTGAAGCCGGCTGTGCAGCTACAGCCGAACCCCAGAGGGCCGGGGCCTTGAGCGTAGCACGTCCCGTTGTTGTGACAGGGGCTGGAGGCGCACGGGTCCACTTTCTGCTCGCATGTGGCACCCTGGTAACCTGTGAGGTGACAGTGGGAAATGTCAACATATAAAGAGGGATAGGAAGAGAAAGACAATCATGGGAAACTAATACTAAAATAATCTTCTTATGGTTATGGAAGCATAAAGGAAATGCCTTTAGTGTGACTGATAATAAGCGTCCTCATCAATAACACTTAGAGCACACAGCTGCAGTACAAGTTGCCAGTGTCGCAGGTAAAAGTCAGATAAAAACTCTTCGGTCAATTTTAGGCATTGGATGAACCTACTTTCAAACAAGGCTGGCGGAGTGGCACAGCAGGGGTTGTGTTTATGCAAATCAAGTGGTGCAATGCGATATGTGGCATCCATTTTTTGGCATAAAATTGCACCTACTCCTCTGCCTACTGAAACCACCTCTTCTTGCAAATAAGTTCATGGAGAAATTTACCTCTAGATGTTTAGTTTTTGGATTAGTTTGAAAAAAAGTTTGTTCTGCTAGTCCCTACTCTAGTCTCTACCTTAAGGGATGTGCTGAGCATTCCTGGCTACACAACTAATTGTGCCTCACACAATATGGCACAGCAACAGGGACTAAAAATGTGATAACAATCGGACAATACAATTGCATCAAATGTGAAATCATTTACTATGTAATAATGCATGGAAATGCAATAAAAAAAAACATATTTGACAGTTTAAACTAAATGATCTTGCTTATGCACTTTTTTTTTTTTTTAGCTTTTAGATTTTTAAAGGAAATCTAACACATATCCTGTCATATGTTTGGTACCCACATGCAGTTTATCATTGCCATAAAGAAATATTTTGACATGTTTAGAAGTAAACTTGATTACTTTCTTCCCAAAAGTTGTAAGATGATTAGCATAGCATTGCATAAAGACTGGAAGCAGGGGAGAAACAGCTACCTCTCCCCAAACGTTTAAAATATAACTATTAGGACCTTTAAAACTCATTAAATATATTCTGAAATAGACTGTGTTGAGGCCGGCCATGGACCGTCCTGTGACAGTATCCACTTGTATAGTTATAATTTTAAGCACCAATACAATGTAAACAGTTCAGTTGTCTAAAAATGTAGCCCCTCTTAAACTGTCATGAATGAGGTAATTAGCCAGAGAGGTCGAAACTATTTTTCATACTAGGCTCTAAACATGTTTATTTCTGCTGTGAAGTTGAGCATTTTGACATTGAGCTCTATAAGGACTGACTTGCTTTTGGAGCAGCCTCAAGTGGCCATTTGAGGAACTGCAGTTATTGACATTCAACCTCCACCACAACAAATAGTGACAACACAGAACTGCAAATTACAACAGAAGTGTTTACATTTCTATTCTGTATATAATAAACAAACAAGTTCATTTCGAGGTAACATTTGAGCCTTGGATGGAGCGAGGCCGCCTGCTTCTCGTGTAAGCTAAGCCAACAGCATACAGACATGAGGGACGTGAGTCAGTCTTCAAAGAAGAAAAACAAAATGTCAAAGTATTCTTTAAGATCTTGTTACTGTCATGTTTTCAAGCAGCAGCTTTGGGAGAGTGACACCAAGGATCAAAAGACGATATCCTCAGAGAAAGACAGCAAGTGGCTTGATTCTGTCATCAAATACAACCCCAAATGACCACCCCTACAGCAATTTTATTGTTCTTTCTTTTATTCGTTCCTCTTCGTTGTTTGAGAACAAGACAAACAGAGCGAAAGCAGCTTAAAAGAGATTGAATTCTTGCTGCAGACAGGGCTGTCTAACCATTATGTTGTACCAGTATTTCTGGAGGACGGATGATGTGTTTTTGTCATGCTTTCCATGCGATAATGCCCCTCTGTGTTTGTGCAGGGGGTCTGTTCTGAGCAGACCCATGCTCTCATTTCCTTGCCACTACTTTCTTCCTCACCTCCTCTCATTAGCTCATCAGCCTCTATCTCTTTCACCTATCTTCCACTTCTAAAAATAACCCCTTTTCTTCACCCTTACTCCTCTTCTGTCTTCACCTCCCATGAGAACCGCCATTATACTGCAGAGAGGAGAAAGACTCCGCTGTGTACATGCACATAGCTCTGCTGTGATACAGTGCATGTGGGTCCTCTGATTTACAGTCACACCGTAGTAAATCCCTGAGCTGACTGCACCAGAGTGCACACTCCATTGAACTAATGAAGAGATCTCTCTCAAGCATCCATTGATCTGCAAGACTTTATTTTACTGTGCGAGGAGGACATTTATCATTCAGCGGAGAGACACGAGTAATCTGCAGCAGTCAGGCGAAAATCTCACCACAGCTCTTCTTTCTCTTTGTGTCCTCTGCCTCGTTCTGCTTCATCCCTTCCCATTTCTGCTCCTCTGCCTTCCTCTTTTTCCCTTATTTCTTTTACACGCACAGACGCCAAACACACGCATAAATTTAATTTTATGATTTATATTTGCTCTGTCATGCTTTAATCCCCTGCTTTTCTCTGTGTTTAGCTTCTTTGCTCTCTCTAAGAACTTGAGCTCAATTTCTCTCTTAGTCTTTCTCTATTTCCAGCTTATTCGTCTATACATCTATCAATCTAAAGATGCGCGCTCTCACACTGTGACACGAGCTGAGCTGACAGAGAGGAGTCTGTTCACTCCTGCTGCTGGCGTTCTAACCTGCCAAGGAGTTAACAGTTTAAATTTAGCTGGCCCGCTCACTCCTCCGCCCCTCTACTTCTGACTGGAGGCAGCCCCAGTACAGACATTCGCATGTCACACTTCACACTCAGTGTGTACAAGTCAGAGTGCAAAATGTACATGCACGCACCTATGAAATTATAATATTGGCATGGATTTAACATCTTCATCCCCTTGTAGCGACCGTGTGAAAGTATAAACTACACTGTGTGCACAATTACTAGGCAAGAGGGTATTCAGACCTCATCATTTTATTCTCTTCACATTTTCCAACTCTAAACCACATAAACCTGAGTGCTTATTGGATTTAATCATTTTTAGTCGAGACGAACTTGCGTAATGAAGGAGGGTGTAGTGTAAAGTGATTAATACTTTACATTAGGCTCCATAATAATTAGGCAGCCTCATTACTTCAGCTAAAATGGGCCAAGAAAGAGATTTAGCTGATACTGAAAGTCAAAAATTGCAAAATGTCTCTCATACAGATGTAACATTCTTGAAAAAGATGAACTATTGAGGTGTGACCACTGGACAATCAAACACTTGGAGAAGAAAATGTGCAAATTAACCATAGAAGAAAAACTAAATGTGAAGCTACCAGGAGTACATTATCCTCCAGCGCCACCATATTCAAGGACTGTAACCAATCTAGAGCATCCACCACAAGGTGTCAAGTGCTCAGACCGAGGTAAGAAGGCTAAAACACGACCACCACTGGGTAAGATTCACAAGTTCAAGTGTCAGGATTGAGTGGAGAAATACCTGAGAACAGATTTTTCAAAGGTTTGATGGACAGATGAAATGATGGTGACTCTTGAGGGAGCAGATGGATGGATGGATCACTAATGGACACAGGGCAACACTTTGAGTCAGGTGCCAGTGAGGTGATGAAGAAGCACTGGTATGGACGCTATTATTAAGGATGAGCTAGCTGAACCTTTTTGGGTGGCAATGAAAGTCGACTCCAAAACTAAAGGTTAGTTTCTGGAAGATGGAAGAAGTCAACAGCATTGAAGAAGGCCATGATCTTTCAGCAGGATAATCCTCCATTGCATGCATCCAAGTACCTCAAAGGCAAATGTACAGTGAGGAAACACAATGCGCCACTATGAAGAGCATTTGGGAGGCCGTGGTTGGTGCTTCAGTCAAAGTTATTCGTCAACAGATCGAGAAACCGACAGACTCCGGGGTGGCCGTGTACACTGCCTGGTCAAAAAAAAAGTCACCCTCTGGATTTAACTAAGCAAATAGGTAAGACACTCCCATTGGATAATTACTGCATGCGTTATTATGTTTCAAAAAGTTATTTAACTTTGACTGATGCAGTGAGTCACTTCTCATTTCTTAAACAACAATGTCGAAAGAAGCATTCTGTGGTCATGGAAAAGATGTTAATCTGTTTCAGAAGGGTCAAATTATTGGCATGCATCAAGCAAAGAACATCTATGGAGATTGCTGAAAACTGGAAGGACAGTGGGGAACCATCATCTTCAAGGAAGAAATGTGGTTGGAAAAAAAATCTTGAATAATTGTGATCGGCGATCACTTAAACGTTTGGTGAAATCAGATCGTTAAAACAACTATTCATTTCAATCAGTTTCACACATGAACTGGCCACCACAGAATCCAGACCTTAACCCCATTGAGAATCTCTGGGGTGTGCTGGAGAAGACTTTGCGCAGTGGTTCGACTCTCCCATCATCAATACAAGATCTTGGCGAAAAGCTAATGCAACGCTGGACGGAAATAAATAGAAAGAAATCCAAAGAAATATTATTTTTTTCGTCAGGCAGTGCATTTGAATGGCCAAAAATGTCATTTGAACGTATTTTGTGTTGCTTATTTGTTAAACTTTCTCTAAAAATGTAGAATAGTTGCCTGATAACTGTGCACACCTTCCTGAGAAACACCATCATTCAGGTTCAAGGTTCAGTAACAATTTCGAATGACTGCAAGTGCTCGTATTTGTTCAACAACAAAAGGAATACTAGGAATAAAGTTTGCATAACAACCGTGCACACAGTGTAGAAGACAGTCAGAGAGCACAGATCTCCATAAATATCAGATTCTACAATTTGCGATTCTACCCTGAGGCATTTTTTTTTTGTGCTTCAACTTTTAAATAAGAGTAAATTTGCCCTGTAAACATGTGCAGCTGTAAGTTCTGATTAAAAGACAGGTTCTGAATTTCTCAAGTTTGTCTTAAAACAGTACCGATGTGCCCATATGCATGTGAGATTAGGTCTTGGCAGCTGTAACTATTCCTACTCCTCATACTGGCCCTTGAAGCTTATTTCCCTCAAGAAAGTGACTGTGCTTTAAGAAATAAAAAGCACAGCTCTCATTCTGTACAGCTTCTACAGTCTCGCTGAACTACACTGAGCTGGTATATTTTTAAGATGTCTATTTGGTACAAATTTCCTCTTTTTTATTTCTCCAAGTAATACCCTGCAGAGCTGCCACAAAAGCATACCTCGGAGTAGTCGCTGGTTGGTGTGTTGTTGTTAAATGGCCCATTACTGCTCAAGCTAAGCTCAAAGTTAACTTGGAAATGAGTTTTTACTTCTCAAATTGGACAGTTGGAGTATTTTAGACACAAATAATTTGTTCAACAACTTGCTTCGACTCTGTGTTTAGAGTTCATTTGAGCATCTGTGACATCTCAGAGTCGATTTCTCTCGTTGTTCGCCAGACCCCTTTCATTTTTTTCCTGCTTCCTGCACCTCATATAACATAGAATACGGTTTGTTGCTGCTTTTATCCAGAGTGTGCTAGAAGAAACACAGCGATGGACAGCAGCGGTCAGTATATTTCCCCAGAGAGGTCCTGAAACGGCCAAGTTGTGGCTAATAGCGGTCATAATGGACACAAACACAGGGTTTCGGAAGCTGAGAGAGTTACTTGGATTTGAAGCTCTTTCCTCGGAGGACAATTTCCACAACAGAGGAGATGCTGCGAGAACAATAAGAAGAGCAGAGATGTGCCACTGCTGAAAATAAATACACAGTAAAGGTTTTATTTTCTCAGTCAAGCAAGATAAAGCTACACTGAGATCTAAGTGTGAGGTATTGCTGGTAAAAGGGCTGCAGTGATTGTATTACAGTCAGCTTCTCGCCTACAACAGTTTTGTTATTTGCCTGAGCTTTGTAAAAACAGATGTTAGTGTATGCAAGGTATGTGTAAACTGCATATAGATATCTGATGAAGGTGCTACTGCAACTTCCTGGGTAATGGCTTCAGTACCAGTTGGGTTTATGTTTATTGGATGGGCCAGCTTAATTGCAGCATAAATTCACCGTTACAACTTAGATTCAAGCCTTTATCTGGATTCCTTTATGACTACTGGCTAAACCCAATAACAACCCTTGGACAGATATCCCCAAAAGCCATATTAGGCCTTTAGGTAAGTTACTCAGCTCAGCTTCTCTCTGACAATTTGTTGCTTTCTGAGAAATGCAGTTGACAGAAAAACAAACAGAGACAATATCTTGATCCCTGCAGGGTGATTCTAGTCAGTAAGAAAAAAAAAAAAACGATGCTCATGCTGCTGTCATAGTTGGCCTAGTGATCACAAAGGTGATGCATCACTGATGACAGCAACTAGAGCTGTCCTGCCACCCAGCATTTTATTTACCGCAGAAAAACACAGAGAGAAAACTTGGGAGTTGGTTTATGGGGGGGGGGGGTTAAAAATGCAGCATGAAAAACGAGGGATCTGCGCTGTGCTCGTGCTCATTTGGCCGTTTGATTGTGCTTATATTTCCTTTGCAAGTGGAGGACGCTACTTCACATAGCCTTAATTATCATGTACTACACAGCATTTCTACTTAGTTGGGTCTTTGAGAGACACAAGTAAAACAACTTGAAAGAGTGTGTGACTTCCAATCAAAGAGACGAGGAAAATAAATGGAGGAGGGACACGTTTTTTTTTTTTTTTTTTTTAAACTTCCTATTATCTTTTGTCTTTCCCCTCCTCTTGTTATCTATCTCTGTTCTACACATAGCGAGGTTTCACATAAAGGATATGTAAAGCATTCTTGGACTTGGAGTGTTTGGAGTGTTTTTTTTTTTTGGATAAAAGATGAAATGTTTTCTCGCTCTTGGAAACTTTACATTACTATACAGCACCTCCTTTACTGCCACCCCGTTAAAAACATCATCCGGGATGAAAAAGCCTCTCCTAGTTTTGAAGATTTGCCCAGAGGCTGTGTATTCAAAGACATTCAAATCATCATCTTCCTTTGATATGTTCATTAGTATGGATGCATATCTTTTTCTTTTTTTTTTTTTACTTTTTTGTGTTTTTCATATACAAACTTGTTTTTATGACTTGAAAGGACATTTAAATGACTTTATGCTTTTCTACACTAAAATAATCTATAAACTGTGGGTTTTTATTTCGGATAAATATCAGAATCTAATACAAAGTGGCAACATAACCACTACTCAACCTGAAAAGAACATTATGTGCCTATGCAGTGTGTGTTTTTCCTACGTGAGTATCGTTCAGCCCTCTGATTGATCACTGAGCTATTGACTGATTACTTGTTAAACAGCATGTCCTGTAATGAAGCACACTTTCCTATAGATTTGACATTTTGAGTCTGTGCAGGTGGAGCTGCTCTTTTTTCTGGTCTGATTTTCTCTGACAGTTATATTCCAAACAAACTGCTGTTGCAATTGAATTGTATCGCCCTCTCGCCACCGGTATTCATGCTGAAAAATGACATTTTTATAATATTTCATAATGCATAATTTTCACTATTGTTGAAAGAAATTTCACCACCAATGATTGTAGCATTTACACCCTTGTGACATGTGAAAATGTATTCCATTAAAAAGGCCTGTGGCAAAAAAAGAAGGGGGGGGGAGGGGCTCATTATACTGCAATATTTAATGTTTTTTGTTATTCACTTTTTATTAAATTGCCAGCCACTTGTAAATAAACACACCGACAGGTAATTGCTCGGTAAGTCAAAGTCCCCTCGGACACAGAATTAGCAAATAATTATTAAAAGCTCTCCCTTGACAAAATCTCCTTGCAACAACTGTGCTGGCAGATTTCTTACCACTGCTCGTGCCACTGTTTCTCTCAATTTATGAAAATAAATGCACAAGTGGTGGATTATGAATTCTTTTTCCTCATCAGAGACCTTGTTCTTTCAGCAGATTAATATTACAACCAGGTGTTACAGCGTGAGTGAGGCCTCCTTGACTGCTCCAACTGGAACAAATGAACAACTTTCCCAGCAGGTTTTCCATCCATCCGTCGTTTCTTTATTTGTCCATTGCTACTTAATATTTATCCTGTGTTTTGGGTGGGCATATACAGTCTTTGTACATGCTGTAGGTTAATTTGCAAACCAGTGTGCTCTTATTAAGAAATGCTGTTTCCGCAGCAGTTTTGCGGTCGCATATTTCCCCAGAGAGGCTGATGCAGGTCGCTCAGGCTATGAAGACTAATTAGAATAGAGGAGGAAGGTTTAAATTAAGCATCGCGGTGGCACAGATACAGTTAAACATGCATGTTCATAACAACTGGAATCAGACGGCAGAAAAATGCAGCCGCTATTGCAGGAAACTTGTTTCTACACTTTCCTCTTTGTCCTTTTCTTTTCACAAAGACACACAAACATCACATGAAAGGGTGTCTGGCTGGTTGTTTCTATTTTAGACACACAGACCACATATTTCTGACAGCTCCTCTATTTTTTTTCTGATTTGGTTACAGCAAACACACACCAACAAGCACATAATTGGTTCCAGCATGTGATAATTGGGTTCCTACCTTCGGGACAGTAGCACCTGGGCCCGGCCAGGCTGCTGAAACATGTGGCTCCATTCTTGCAGGGCTGAGAGAGGCAGTGGTCAACCAGCAACTGGCAGCGCTCGCCTTCATAACCTGACAAACACACAGCCTATGATCAGACTGCTTCATCTGGCATCAACCACTTTTTTGTTAGCTAACAGCCATATGGACTGTTAAAAGAATACACAATGCACTGTTGTGTTGTGTGCAATTGTTATCTTACAAGGCAGGTTGCTACAGGATGTATTATAACTCGTAAAACAGCTGCCACAAAATTATGGAGAAAACCTGGAATTGTGTTTGTTGTCTTGCATATTTTTAAAAATGCGATTTATTGTGAAAGACTGAGTTATTAACCTTCTTAACCCTAAAACTAACAAAGGGGTTTAAAAGGCATGTTGTCTTTTTTTTTCTTCTTAAAAAGCACCACAATTATACCATTTATCAGCGCATGAAACTAAAAAAAAACAAAAAACAAGTAGAAGATCAGATTTTACTTTCCAGTGGTCCCTAAACTAATTATGTGCGACTTGCAGTTATATCTGGTAAATTAACCAAATTAAAGCTTAAAGTGATTTCATCAAAATCACTCCAATATGTCCCTTTTCAAAAATGTCCAAGTTAATCATTTCCACTAAACAGATTCTTGAAAGAAACAAAACATTCTGGGTTGTACAGCACAGCCAAGAAGCCATTAGTGACATAACGTTGACTAACAATCACAACACAAAATTCTGAAACTTCTCACCTAACCTGCTGGCTGTGTTTATATAGAGCAAATAAACAAGTATAGAAGCAAATTAAAAATGCAATATATATTATGTAGAGTCACCTGTGGGTGCTTGGAAACATGCTGTACATGATGATCATATGTTTTTTTTTTTTTTTTTTGCAAAATACATCATAAAGTAGTAAAAGTATAGTAGTAAAATAGTGTTATAACTGTTCTGCTGCACAAAATACATTTTTGAGGTCTAACTGCTTCTCGTCATGGCTGTGCTGTTTCCATAGAGGTGCAGGACTTTATAATGCAGTGAAAAATGAGCACACAGTGAGAAAAAATGATGCAAGAGCAAAAATGCCCAGAAACTGCTTAGGATTCAGAGGGTTCATTAAGCGTTATTACTTGCATGTAAATGTTTGCCTGTTGGCTATAATATTGCATATATCAAAAAAAAGTAGCTGGTTTTAGTAGTTAATCTAGATCCTAGAAAACAAACTGCATGAATAAATAAGTCATCAATGTCAACTAAATGCACTGAACTTGAGCCACCTGGGTAAGTTACATTTTGCAATGCTGACTACTGTCTGTTACTACCTTTTTATTTTCTCTCACCTGCCACTCACCCAGGGCTTGTTAGCGCAATTCCCTAATGGGAAGCGACTGGCAATCAGCGGTCCCCTCCGACATTTACCTTCCTACCTGAGGCCTTTTGTTTCAAGTCCCTGTCCCAAAATAAATGTGACAAGATCAAGGGTTCAATACTCTCTCTGCTCCTGCGTTCTCATTCAGACATTTTCTTAAACAAAGAGGCTCTCGCTGTTCGGCTCTAATCAAACCAATTGAGACCACACAGGCGGACTCCCGTGGGTTTTCCACACGTGTGAGACAGCGTATTGCTGACAGCTCTGAAATGAACACATCAAGTGCCTGAGGTTGTGTGAAATGCCACAGTGTACACATGGAAACATACCTGGTTGGCAGGTGCAGGTGAAGTTGCGTCCTTCACCTCCCTGTCTAACGTCAGTGCAGGTGCCATTGTTGCGGCAAGGTCGGTGGTGGCAGGCGTCAAACTCCTCACAAAAAATCCCAGTGTAGCCATCCTCACACTCGCAAAAGAAAGTGCTCTGCAAAACACAATCATGCACGAAACCTCGCACGTCAAATTAATCCAGCCTCAAAGGTGAAACAACGAGAAGTGGAAGGAGAAAAAAAACTTGTGAAACAGAAATAATAAGATTGCTCATTGTAAAATAATTCGGCAACACAACAATGCAATTATGAGGAGCAGTGTCACAGTCTGATTTTCCGTACTAGCGAGGGGAATGATAATGAGAAACTGAGCATAAAAAGAGACACCAGGAACAGGCCTCTGCGACATTTCCCTCTGCACTTTATTCATGCTTAGCGAGAGTCGCTGCTGCTTCACCGCCTAGTTCAGTGTGTGGAGCTGCTTCTTCTTCTACTGCAGCATCCTATTTCTGTCGTCAGGCCAGTTTTTACAATATTATTAGATTATTTCCAAGCAGACCTGTGTGCATTATTAACTCTTGGCAGCAGATAATGATTAACCCCCAACACCACAATTTGAATAAAAAATAACATGTTTTCATCAGCTCTGCTTTATTTATTTTTAATGTTTTGTATTGTTTGCTGCAGCACTCTGCACTGTTTTCTGCCATGACGTGAAACGAGATTGTTCATTTGTGAATAACGATCCAGAGGGGCTTCTAGCACAGTCACACAGCTCTGGTGATAATGCTTGGTTTTAACAATATGGAAATCTTGTTTATTTTGCTGTTGTTATGTTAGCAAGCTGCAAAGTGAATCACTGCCTTACACACGCTTGTAAAACAGGAAAAAGAAACATGTCGAAATTAAAACGTTGAATGCTTCCATTCAGATGCCTGACTGGTAACTTTTTTTTTATTCGAGTCTGTTAGAGCTTACAGGATTTCCTATTCAAGCATAAAATGAATGTGCAGCATTTCTCCCGTGCATTTGTATCCTTTATCATGCAAAGCTGGAAAAGTGAAAGAAAAAGAAACATCCTGTGCTTTGAGGATTTTTGCTCTTCCTTGAATCCTCACCTCCGAGGGCTGTGTAATGCATTTGCCTTTTCCGGAGCACTGAGGGTCACTGAAGCCGCTGCCAGGCTCCACGCAGCTGCTGGCCTTCACCGTCAGGTTCAGACGTAGGGTGACCTCCGGGGATGTCGGAGCGCCAACACGCATCACACCTGCCGCAGAAGCATTCATATAGCATTTCTATTCAAGTAACAAGAAGGTATATTTTAATATTATGTAGAATATACAATATACACCTCGGTTCAGCATCACGTAAATGCCAAGTGATTCGGAATTGTACCTTAACAACGGCATCACACACATTGACATCGAACAGGAGGGTATTTGGTCTTGTGTTGAATTAAAAACTAACAGATTGGATTAACTACATGAAAAACACAATGTAGAGGGGAAAAAAAGTCAGTAGTAAGAGTTCATTTCTTCAATACTTAATATGTCTTCATTCTGTATGGCAGACTGACTCCTGCTCAGTATGGACGACACCAGATTTCTGTTGAGTTATTCAGAGTTTTTTCCAGCATTTTCTTTGCCGGAGGGGTTGTGCTGCTCTGCCTTTCTCTTTAAAATACCCCAAAGTTGTTTTATTGGATTCAAGTCAGGAAAGATACTTGGTCAGGTCATAGTTTTCACTTCTTTAGAAACTCTTGTGTGATTTTGGCAGTGCACTGCGGATCGTTATCATGCTGGAATATTCCTCTTCTGCCAAGCTTCTGCAGAGCAGAGTCATCGTTTTCAGCCAGTATTTTTGGTACATCCGCAAGCGTTCATGGTGTCGTCTATAAATGTCAACACCACCAACACATGTTGTGTTCATACAGCCCCGTGTCAATACACTCTGACTTAAGTGCTTTACTGTCAGGACTATGCATTCACTGTGGTAGTCCTGGTCAGGTTTACGAAAATATGCTGGACCCCATCTGAGCTGAACAACTTCATCTTGGTCTCATCTAAACTAATAATGTGCTCCCAGTATTCATCAGTTCTTCTTCAAGTTTAATGTTGCAGTTCAGTGCCCAAGAGCAAGAAAAGATTTTTTTCTTCTTGGATATCATTAATAGAACTTGACATCATTCACCATCCTTCACACTGTCTGAGCTGTCACAGAAACTCCAACTTTCACTGCTAAGTCTAAAGCACTTTGTCGTCTGTTTTTCAGAGCTACATTGTAAAACTAGTTCACTGTCTGTGGTGTCACTATAGGGTGCTGACTATTGCAGCTCTGATTAGTGGTACTATGGCTCGTTCTATACCACCTGATTACTGCTGCAGCTGCTTTTTGGCCTAATTTTTAGTTGCTCAATAATCTTCCTTTTTTCTTTTCCATCTTTCTGAAGTCTCATAATCGGATTTTTCAATCCCCGTGTCAGTTCTTTTCCACGTGGAGCCATGATGCACATATGCAGACAGCCAGAAGGTCCAAAACAGAGAAAGCTCTGGTTTTCACGGCTCATTTTATAACCATGTTATTAGGCTGACTGTAAATCACAGGGTGTACTCAATTTTGTTTGACTGATCACAATGTGTCACTGAGTTTCTACTTAGGGGCCTGTATTACAATATTGTCTCTCCAAAGTATTTGCTTATTATTGTTCAAAGGAGGAAATGCTCTACCTGTCAATTTGGAAATAATGCAATTATTGGAAGGTCATGCAATTTGAAATCATTTGACGTGTGATTTTTTTCACATTGTTGTAGTCCCTTCTGTTGTTTATTCTACAACTATGATAATTCTACAATAAGGACGCCATCCCCATGCCATTGGAGGGATAATCTGACTTATTGCTAGAGAGGATTTTTAGGTTTATTCGCAACAGTACAGTAAAGTACAACCTAAAAAGTACATTTGTACATTTTTAGCCATGGTTCACTATTTATATATAACAATAAATAATAATAATAAAGTTCGTAAAGACATTCATGGTCCCCAGAAGATGAATCCTACTGACTTTGGTAAACTCTTGACTTTTCCTCTAGTGTGATTATCCAGTTTCAGTTTATCCAGTAATTTAGTTCATGACAAAATATCTGCAAACCTATGACATTCCCATCAGCCTCATGCTGAAATGTTAAATGAACACAGTAAACATTATTCCTGAACAAACAACAGCGTGTTCACATCAGCCTGAAGTCCCATAAAGCTGCTAGCATGTCTGTAGAGTCTAGGTGCTTTATGAATCATATAAATCTCTGCCATAAGAAGAACCCTGAGTGTGAATGAAAGAACTGATGCAGGCAGTTCATTGCAGTGACCATAACAGGGGTGTGTGCCTCTTTGTCTTGTTCCTCTCTGGATCGATAAATTCAGAACATCTCCTACTGTATGTTCAATCAAAGCTGACAGCTACACGGGCACTCAGATAAAAATAGCTTCATAGTGAACATTAACAGCCATTTTCTAGAGCCTGACCTGAGCCAATGAACTGCAAGCGCACCTCTGACGACAGCGATGATGTAAGCTTCCCCCGGCCAATCGGAGCATTGTTAAAACCGCTCGTGTTCCTGTGTCACGTCTCACCAAATGATGATCAGCCCAGTGACATCAAACCCCGGACCTGCACAGTCATCGCTCATCAAACTGCCGGCAAACATCACAGTATCCATCCCACGTGTAGATGGCTTCACTTCTTCCTCACCGATGCTCTGTGCAGGACATGAGGTCGCACACCTCCGGGGTCTACGAGCGACCCACTTGAAATCAGGTGTGAATGTGAGAACGCTGTTAATTTAGCCTGACCTCTGACAACAGAAGCATCGGATAAGCTGCGTCCCTTTTTCTCGCAATTTGACCTTCATCCCCGCCTCCCCCAACTGCACACTCCATCCCTCCGTCCTTTCCTCTAATCCCTTTCTTTCTTTGCCATCCCTCCTTTCCTGTCTTTCTCCCTCCTTATCCGACTCTTCCTCTCTCCCACTGTCCTCCCTCCCCTTTGATTTAACTCCCCAATGTCATCTCCCCCTCTTCTCTCCCTCTCTGGTGAAGCAGAAGCTATGGCTGCCTCAGAGTTAGCAGACATGTCAAGGTCAGCAGACAGGGAGTGTAGTGAAACAGCATCAGGTATGTAGAGCACACACAGAGGTCAGCCAGCCCTTCAGTCAATGAGTGAGCCTCCAATTACCCCCCCACCACCCCCTCCAGCACCCACTGCAGCTCACACCACCGGTTTTTGTTGGAGTTTTTTTTTTTTTTTGGCACCACTGCACAAACGCTCACAAACTCAACGCAAGTGTTAAAATACAGATGGAATATCAGCATAAATGTCTGTTCAATATGCAAATACGGCATTCTGACTCATATATGCAAATGTTATGCTACTCTCCCCACTGACATGTCAAGAATAAACGCTGTAATTACAATTTATTTAAATTCATTAATCCTCTGATGTTTTCTGGCTCAGTTGTAAATGAGCTACTTGGAGGTATTTCAAAAATGTTTCCCATTCAGCTTCTCTGTGGCTGCTGGACGAACTGTCGCACACATGAAATTAGGAAAACAGAGATAAGGAAAGTTTAATTATTATTATTTTCTCTTCTCCGTAAGTTCTATGCAGCTTCGATAGGTTTAAGTAACGTTTCAAACATTCTGATTCACCAGCTAATTTGCCTACTTTACTTAATAAATCTTTCATAAACAACTAAATGCTCAGTTGGTTATTTAGTCCAAGTGGTCACCGAATGCTTTTACTACATGATAAGAAAAATCAAGACTAAAGGCCAGTCTTTGGTTTCTGTCTCCATGCGGATGTTCGGTGCACATTTTGCTCAATCTTAGTTAAGTGCGTTGCTTGGATTTGCAAATTAGCAAAGTTTAGTCCTTCAGGAGATTGGACTCTTACTGAGGAAGTAGTTCTGTCCCAGGGGCAGCGAGTGGTCCGGCACCACCAGTCCATCAGCGGCCTGCAGAAACCACATCGTAGTGCCGTTCAAAATGGATGAACGCAGAAAACCCTCTTCATTCACGCGCCACAGCACTGGAGCTCCACTGGCATTCACCACCACCCTGGTTGGAGAGGAGAGAAACACAGTAAGGAAGGGAGTAAAGTATGAAGGTACAGGAAATGAAAAGGTAAGAAAACCAAGGAGGAGAATTTGATGATTGCGGGTTTTGTCTACAGTTTGCCCCAAAACAAAAGTTTATTCCCATTGACGTGATCCACTTTTAATTGCTGACACTTCTCAGCTGCGTTTTCAGCTTTTGCTGCAAGTTTGCAGACTTCACAGTGTAAATAATGGATGGTACAATCCACATACTGCGCCCCTTATTATTTTCTATATCCAGTGAAGACCTAATTCGTCTTGCTAGACATCAAACGGTATTAAAATGTTGACAAAATCTGCTTGAAAGATTAGATAAATTAACTAATCCTCAATGTGGAGTCTTTTTTTTAAACTTCTTCTAATCCTTCTTTTAGCCAGAAGAACTTGATTACAATATATATATATATATATATTCTATTCAGCAGACACAGTGGTCAGCAGCAGCTCAGCAGTCATGAAACGGACCATCAGTTTTGCTCTGAAGGACATTTTGTCCCACATTTGTACTCAGGACAGAGGATAAGCAGCGCCTCCAGAGATGCAAAATCTTGGGTTTGCACATTAAAACAACAAACCTTCACTGAATTTAATTATGCGGCTGTAATATAGACAATAGCTTCTTATTTTACAGTCAATGTTACTCATTTTCTGATGTGCATAGACTAATACATGTACAGTTAACATTTTGGTTATTTACATAATTGCAATTCAAAATAGTAAAGAAGAAGAGTTGCTGGGGAGAATTTGAGGGGAAAAGGTCATTTATTTATGATCTGAAAGCTGAAAATTCTGTCCATGTGTGATGATAATTTATCAGACATTACATTTTGATAAATAACGTGTTGTCAGTGTTAGTAGGCTCACTATTGCAGTATTTTGGTTGGTTACTGACTATGTCACTGCTGCCACTCGGAAAAATATCCCTAATAAAAAGATACCTGATATGATGAAAAACAATTTTGACAAATTATTTAATTGCAGCTTATAATTTGTGACTCTGTGTGTGACAGGCCAAAGTGAAGAAAAGCACACATGTGATTTAATGTTAGATCCTGATCGATCACATCTCCATGTTCAGGATAATTTATAATTGTGAGTAATTTGTGAAGTTACCACTGTGTTGTTTTATGCTGTCCCTCAGTTTGGAGATGCTGATATTGATCCTGCTGATTTCTGATGCTGCAGGTATTTAATAAAGTCAAACAGCTGCAATCAACACTAAACTTCAGCACCCGTAAATGTTTTGAGGTCTGTATGAAGTGCGTCAGAAAAGTTTCAGGACTGGTGTCACAAAAGACGTATTTCAAACCCAAACTACAAACTACAAGTTTTCCCCATCAGACGATCAACCAGCACGTCTACAAAGAGATCCTGTGGTGTTTGCTTCGTTCAATGTGTGAGAAGAGGTGAGAGTTGTGGCAGGACAAGTCGTGGCTGCTTCACCATGACAACCTGCCTGCTTACAATGCTCTGAGCATCCCACAGTTCCTGGCTGAGAAGAACATCGCCGTGCTGGAGCAACCTCCCTACTAACCCCACCTGGCTCCGTGGGATTTCTTCCTCTTCCCCAAGCTCAAGGGGGTCATCAAGGGGACCCGTTTTGAAGACGTGGATGACATCAAGATGGCTGTGACGACGGAGCTGCGGAGGATCCCAGAAGAATCCTTCAAGGAATGCATGGCAGCGTGGCAGAGAAGGCTGGGAAAGTGTGTTAGACTCCAGGGGGATTACTTTGAAGGGGAAAACTGGTATTTTGGATTCGAAATATATCTTTTGTGACACCAGTCCTGAAACTTTTCTGACACACCTCGTATGTGCATCCCTGTCAACCAGAGGCACTAACTGTGTCCTTTGTGCTCTTTGAAGTTAATGGAGGGGTGCACAGCTGACTGGCTGCAGCTACACAACCTGTTACAGCCATCTAACGGTGTTTGAACTCAGACAGTGTAGCTGCATCCAGTGAAACTTGGACATCAGAGTTTCAGGTAATGAACTTGACCTATCAGATGTGAGGCTGCCACAGTGGGTGGCCAATAATGGTTTAGGGGTGGCTGTGGCCTCCTTCCTCTCCTTGAAGGCACCACTGACTGACAATTAAAGGACATTTTTCCTGATATCCTGGTAACATTGTCAGGTCAGGCAAATAATCAACGGTGAACCTCGTGAACAGAGTTGTGAAACTGAACAGATGCTGGAAACCTAAAGATCTCTGGAGACTGCATCATCCATCCACTGTGATGAGAATCAAATGAGATTCATCTTACTCTTATGAACATAATATTTATAAGTGCGCTCACCTTTTCAAAATTAGACAGTGTGTGAGCTTCCAAGCAGCACCTCTCTAGAGGACAGTTGAGGGTCTTTACTTTGATAAATACTTTGATAAAACACCTTACAACTTATATTGGATACTTCTAAGTGCAGAAACCATGCTAATTACAAAGAAGTCACAGAAAAGCCTAAACTAATGAAGTATTGCAGACAGAATTTATTGAGCCAGTCTAGGTTTGTTTGAACTTGCCCCCCAATCAACATTTCCAGTGACCCAAATGATATTTTGTGAGACTCAGAACTCGCTCCATCTCTTATTCCCTGCAAAACCACGGACTATGTGCACAATGAGGATAAATCCTCTGTCTGGAGCTTTGCTGCGGCGAAGGATCGCGCTGCCAACAGCGGCATAAAACTTTATCTGTAAACATTTCTCCCTCAGTCTCCCTCAGCCATATTTCCTGCTGGAGACGGCAAACTCCACCAGCTGCTTTGCTGAAGACACAGTAAAGACCAGAGCCAAGCCGAGCTGAGCCGGATCACTGCACTGCAAGTCTTTGTGAAAGACAGACAGGAGGGCAGAGTGAAATCCGTCAACCAGGCTTGTAAGAGCGACGTTCAGCAGTTTCAATGAGGCTCCTCGTGGTTAAATGCCACTGAGCACCCTGCTAACCTCCCTCCCACACCTGAAACAATCATTCCCAGATTAGCAAAAACAAATACAACAATCTGTGATTATCCTCTCTTCCTTTGCGCATCTGTTGAAATGAGTGTTACAAGAGCAATAACCATGATTATTACCTCTTCAGTACTTTTCATTCAGAGAGACACAGCTGAAAGTGTTTCAAACAGAAGACGAAGATTAAAAGTAGCGGATACATGATTTGCATGACTAAAAATATGTTAATTGCACTTATAAGAATCAGATAGCTGGGATCAGACAACACGCAAGTGTTAGTGTAAAGCTGCTTGACTTGTTTTAAGAAGATGCAACATCAGTGCCAAACGCGCCTGTACAAAGAGATAAAACGGCAATCAATAAATCTTAATTAAAGCCAACATTTAATATGTTCTTAAAAAGTGACTGCCTCACAGTTGACGCTGCTGTTTATGTGAGCTGACTTTAAAAAAACAAATAAAAGCCTGTCAGGCAGTACTCAGGCTATAGGGGAATGTGTTTTACGGCCGAGTTCAAGAGCACAGATAAAAGTTGGAGCTTCACAGGTGGATCAACACGACGGCTGTCCCAAGGTGCTGCGCTAAAGAGGGAGCTGAGCCTGAAGGTGAAGCCACGAGCAGTGACCGAAATAATAAGATTGCAGACAGGCTACTTGCAGCTGAAATGAGTTTGCCTTTGTTTCAGCCTGAGGGACAACATGAGGAGCTCAGATATCTGGGGAACTACTGCTGCTCCCAGTTAAAACGAACTGTGTGATATTTCAAGGATAGTTCTGTAAATGACCTACATTTTATATGTGTTAGCAAAGTGGAAGGCTCAGTTTCATTTCATTTTGTAGGTATTCAAACCTTTTTTATATATTTTCTAAAGCTGATTTAGTGCTCAGTCAGTTATTATGAACTGAATTCATCATTATTTCAAAGAAATTTCATTAACTCTCTGAACTCTCAAACCCTGCCAAAATTACACCATTTATCAGAGCCAGAAACTGTAAAAACAGAAAGAATGATCCGATTTTCAACTTTCAATGGTCATTAAGCTGCTCATCTGTGATGCGCTGTTCTGTTGGGAAACTTAACCGAATCTATTCCTGAAACTGTATTTCATGCAGATCACTTTACTCTGCACAGCTGACTTAAACATTTATCAAAAAATAATGTGTTTTAACAAACCAGATTCTGTGAAAAACAAAAAAAATTGTGTATCTCAGAGCAACACAGAAGCCATTTGTGTCTCAGCTGCGAATCAACAATCATATTAGAAAAACTGAGGGGTATTTCAGCTGAGCTAGGATGAACTGCAGGCTGTGTTTACACAGAGCAGATAGGTTCCAGAAGGGGAAAATAAAGTAAATCCTCAAATGTATTCATATCCTCCCATTAAAGAAGGAAAAAAACAGCTGTCGCTGCAATATGTCGAAATTGACAAAAGTAATAATAGATAAAAATTGAATGAAAATCATGACATTGCTTTGAATTGTGGTTCAACAGAGATATATATTTTTTGAAAAACAAAACAAAACAACAAGCAAACAAGCATGATGGGAAGTAATATTTTGTTGAACAACCCTTTGAGCCAATCACTGCAATCAAGTGTTTTCTGTAACTCTCAGTCGAAGGCTCATCAGTAAAGTGCTCTAATTTGTCCAGGACAGTTTTTTTATTTTTTTATTTTTTTATTCTGTTCAACCACAATTCAAAAGCAATGTCTTATTTAACTACATTTAACTACAATTTATTTAGCAAATTTTTTATTTATTGTTGTTTTTTTCAGTTTCTAGTTGCTTGAGTGATTATTGTAAATTTTGCCTTTTCTTTAATGGAAGGTATGAATACATTTAAGGACGACTGTATATAATGTATGTAGATTTATTTATTTTTTTTAGCATTTGTAAAACCTGTGAAATTTTGTGCTTGTTATATTCAGAATTTTTCTTTTTTTAAAATACTTTTGTAAAATAAACATTCAATATAATGAATATAATAAATGAATACATGTCATTATAACTGTGTCATACAGCATAAAAGGGAATTTAAGCTCTCTTCACTGATAGTCCAGGTTGTGTTGCTTCCATAGAGGTGCAGGATTTTATATTGCAGTGAAAAAAAAACGAGCCTGCAGTGAGCAACTAACGCCTGGGATTTAGAAACTGCTTTGGGATTTAGCGGGTTAAAAGAGTTCATATTCTCATGAGTGATACTTAGCACCAATGTACACAAACAGAGCATCTGTGGAGCCGTTACAGCTGCTCCTTCTCGCACCACCTCAGCCTCTGCGGGATAGAAAGCTTCATTACGTTTCTATCAGTGTCTCTAAATTGATGTCACTTTTGGATCACCACTTCATTTCTGAGTGCCACATGTGAGGTTGTACGAGTGTCCTTCACTGTCTTGCGTCTGGTTCGTGTGTTCAGGTGTTGTGTGTAATTATACAGTATGAAAACAAAGCAGCAGAAGCTGATTAACTCGCAGCTCCCAGTCTGCGATCGTGATCAGAGCCCCGAGTCGTGCTCACCATCTATAATGAGGATCAACATCAAGGACATCTGACATTCACCTTGACCGTTTCTTCTGCATAATTCGTTGACCCTTACTTACCGAGCAATTGTAACACTGTTTATAAGCAAACAAGCTCCTGAAAGATGGAATACACCCGCAGCCGTGTAAAACAGTGTCTTACGAGCACAGAGGTGGGTCATGAGCAGATTCAAATGAAGGGGTATTAGTTATAAAAGCTGTGAGCAGTGTTGTGTTTCCATGGTAAGTAGACAGACAAAATGTTGTACACAGTTGGTTCTATTTTAATGTTTTCTGCCTGATAATTATGCAGATAATCCACTGTACAGCTTGCTTTGTTGTTATTTTTGCTGATTAGCATCCATAAAGCAGGGCAGATTCTGCTGAGGTAGTTTTCAGGGTTAGATTCTGGGAGTTTGTGTCCTGACTTAACACCCAGCTGACAAACGGCTCACTGGACGCATGTGGTTTAAAGTTTATCGTCTTTTACCATCTTTAGCCACATCTGTCAGAATCTGCTGACCAGTGCACCACACATGTTTGTCATATCATTCAATTGCATAAAACTAAGAAAAACTGCTGTATTTTAAAGAGTTGATGATATGAGGAATAGACGTGAACTGAATTTTCAGGGTCAATATCGATACCATTCATGACTAAACAAGGAGACTGATAACTGATATTTGGATGTAATACACATTTGCAGTTGTCTCTGCAAACTAGTGGGAAATTTGTTTTGATGGAACAGTTTTAAGCACAAAGACAAAAACTTAATCATTACAGTGGCTAAATTCTCTGCACATGAAAATCAATAAAAAAAATGCTGGTGACTTTGTAATAAGAATTTTGTCGATAAAAGAGATAAACTTAATTTGATAATCAGTGTCCGACAGGTGACGTCTGTCTACACTCTTACCCTGCAGGAGCTCACTGAACTCATTAAAACCACAGACGTGCTAGCGGTATGTATTGTAGGGCTGGTCCGAATAGCATTTTCTGGGGGAAATTCGGAGATCATAATTGATGTCCCAATTCCAGCACAGCGAACGAACAGTCGGCTATTTGGGTCCAGCCCTAATGTACTGTAGGTCTTACAGAATTTTAATAAACCGATATCAATGTTACTGGTACATGCTGCTTCCAGAGTGAAAGATGTGTCAATTCATGTCTAGCTGATGTGGTCAAGTCAGAAAACCGATCAGAGTCCTGCAAGTAGAGTCTGGGATTTCCCTAGATGCATTCACAAGTTATTTTGGTCCTGAAACTGTGTTAAAATCAGATTTGAGAAACAAGTAAGCTAAATGTAGGATTCATATGGGCCTGTAATTAATGACTAAACAGAGATTTATGATGAGCAATACACAAGTCTTCATGCCTGTAAAACAAAGCTATGCTGTCCAGAGATGAATTAAGTTGGCTGTTGTGATTTGCCCCCACATGTAGAGATCTGAGGAGCAGAAAACCCTGTAATCCTCAACTCACCATTTTCAGTGTGTGGGTTGCTGTTTGAAAGCTGTTTCCTGTAGGGAGGGCAATTTTGAATATAGCAAGGGAGCAGAAAGCTGCTTGAAATGAGCAGATTCATACCCACAGTCTACATCCGGTGAGTCAGAGTAGCTGATAAGTATCAAATATTCACTGTCTGTTGGCTTGAATGACTGCTGATAAAGGATTTCCTTCAGATTCACTCTAACTACTGTTAATTCAAAGACTTTCCAGAGCAACCTTTCAGGTGTTTTCAAAAAAAAAAGAGGATCTCCGGTTTGAGTCCCGGTTAGGACGCCTGGGATCTTTCTGCGTGGAGTTTGCATGTTCTTCCTGTGCAGCGTGGGTTCTCCGGCTTCCTCCCACAGTCCAAAAATATGTTGAGCTTTATGGGTGATTCTAACTTGTCTGTAGGTGTGAATGTGAGTGTGCTTGGTTGTCTCGATTTGTAACCCTTCGACAGACTGGTGACCTGTGCAGGGTGTCCCCTACTGTGATTTGCCCAGAAGGTTGAAGAATTCACATACTGCCAAACACCATTACCACATGTTCAATTACTTTGTGTTACAGCCACTTAAATTACATACACACACATAGTTTGATCTGTTAAAAGCTGACTTCTGAACACTTGGCCAACACTGTTTTCTAGATGGAGGGCACACATTTAGTTTACATTGTTTGTCATTTTGCTATGAATTCATTTCTCTTTTCTTTGAGTTATTTTGCTGTTGTATGGCACTTCCTGGTTAGAGACTAGCAAAAGATGGGGCTGAGGGCAGAGCATGGCTTTATTCTGAAGGCCCTCTCATAGACCAGACCAAGAGCTCTGACATCATGGGGGGGATTTGGGTTTATTTGTATTAGTTTCATTGTTGCCTATATAGTTTCCCCCATGCGTTAAATTTGGTCTGATCAGCCAGTATATATGTTTCCCCAGTGTCTCAGTCTGCCAGGTCAGTTAGTTGAGTTAATGTCCAGTTTTTGTTAGCCTTATTTTTCAGTAGTTATATCACGTTGACCTCTTTTAAAAGGCCCTACAACTTTGATTTCAGTAATTTCAGTTGTTTTTTTGTTAAAGTTGGGTTTTTTGTTAGAGAGAGAGAGAAAAACTGTCTTTTGTGAACTTTAAACCTGTGTTTTTGTGCTTTTAATGGTTGGTCAGTAACATCTGCCTTCGCCCTAAGTCAGCTGGGATAGGCCTCAGCCCCTGCGACCCTAGTGAGGTCTAAGCAGTATATAGATAATGGATGGATGGATGATTTCTGTTGGACTATCCCTTTAAGGCAAGGCTGGATTACCATCCAGGCAGAATGGAAAACTGTAAACATGTAGCGGGGCAGTATTCCCTGAGCAAAATATAATTAAGCTGTCATCTGCAGTCTGCTGTGTAAACTGCAACTGAGGAGTAGTTAAAAGCAACGGGATAGATACGGCGCATATATAGAGGAAAATAAGCAAGACATAAATAAGGGCCCACAGTTAGATTTTGTCCTGGGGCTGCCTTGCTGTTTAATCCAACCCTGATTTAAGGGGACAGCAGTCAATTATAAAAGCTACTTTACTGCGTTCTTACTTTACAGCCGTCTCTTCGGGCACCTCCAGAGACAGAGTCAGAGTTCCTGATGTCAGCTCGCACAGCTCAGGACTCACACAGTGCAGACCCTCAGTCACCTGAAACACACACAGAGTGACTCTTTTAGACATCTTAAACATCCACCTATAGGAGCTTAAATTTAGCCCTTTAAGTTATCTCACTCTGTCTGCCTCCCACGGCACCACCAGCAGCCTCTGGCCAGGTTTGGGTTGCCATGGCTGCAGGGTGGGAGGTGCCGGTGTGGTGGTGGAGGGGATGGTGGTTGGCTGCGGTGGCTGAGTGGCGGCCGCCGTGGTGGAGGCGACGGGTGTAGCCAGCTCAGGGGCGGAGGGGGTGGCGGGGTCCCAGTCAGCAGCCGGCAGGTCCAATAGGATCTGATCGCACCTCTCCCCCTCGTAGCCTTCGGTGCACTCGCAGGTGTAGGCCGGCTCCCCCTCCTCCCCACCGTCGCTCCGGCTGCAGTTTCCATGGAGACAGGGGCTGCTGGCACAGGGGTCTGCGAAAAACTGAGATAATGGGGAGAAAACAAACAAAAGAAAAATAAATAACAGAGAAAACACCGGAGGAGGGAGAAACAGGACAAAAACATTGTTATTGAATTGGGTTTTTCACCTGTCCTCTACACTACCGGAGCAGCTTTTCTTGCGACTTGTAGTCAGTTTTTATAGTGAAAGCCTAAAACGTCAATGGAGGAGTCAATTTGAATGGAGTGGGTCTTTAAATAGTGTGCAGGACAAGAAAGTGCAGAGTCTGGTTATCAATTTCCTCTCTGTGTTCCTCAGCTACTTCTTTTATTGCTCTCTGACTCAGCTTCCCTGTTTACACCATCTGCTTGTTTCTATATTACATTTTGACCCTGTGTTTCTAATCAATTGAGGAGGGACTGCATTTCTCCCTCCATCTTTCACTCTCACAGTATGAATCCACACATACCTTCACAAGCACTTGCAATTTGTCCCCACATAAGGTTTCCCCCATCACGCAGCAATGAGAAAAATGCACCCTGACAGCCTCCTTCATGCTGGTTTCCCCCATCAATAATTGATCATATTTGGAGAAAACATTCCGGGATGGATGTTGAAGGTGAAAGAGGACAAAGCCGAGCGTACAAAGCTCACTGCCTGACACAGTGTTGCCTTTTGCTTGGCTTTTAGAGCGTTCATGAGCTTAAGAACGTCTATAATCCTGCTGCCTCTCATTTTTTGGGCAAATTCACTGAAACGGCCTCAGGTATCTGCAGCTCCAGCTGTCTGATTTAAATGTGTTTCCGAAACAGGTTTAATAAAGCCGGGAGAAAAACAAAAAACGCAGGCTGGAGAGAAGGTGAGCAGAGACATGGTAATGATGCTCACGCCGAATCCCTCGCCGCATACAGATGTGAAGGGAAGTATGTGAGAGACACAGCGAGAAGCAGAACAACACGGCGTCATTAACAGTCCGCTCTCTCCACGACCAAGTCACAGCTCATTAATGATAATCTCTCCCAGCTTCTTTACTGTCGATGCCTCGATCAAACTTTCTCTCCTCTGAAACTCGGTAGTTCCAACAGTCCCAGCAGGCCGCTCTCCAGTCCTTACACAGTCTGTTGCTCTTATCTGCACTCAAACGGCACCGGGGAATGAGTTTATCAACCTTTAGAGAGCAGCAGGGCTGGCTCGTCTGGGTTACAGGAAGCATTTAGAGTCCGGCTCTTGACCTTTTTCATGTGTCACTGCTGATTTCTCTCTCACCTTAGCAGTCTACGTCCAGGCTGCACAAAATGTGCCCTAACACAGACAATGAGGATACAGATGGGATTAATGTGATCGAAAATCTACATCACAACAAATCTGCACTTTTGGTTGAAACTTTCCAAGTTTGTAGCTGCTGGTGTTGTTGGATTGGACTGACTAGAAAGTGTTTCAGGTATTTTTCCAATTTCATGTTTCTTCTCCCCTGAATACAACTGGTTGAGGCAGGCTTTTGCCAAGTGTTTCCTAAAAAGAAATCATTAGATTTCTCTCTATAATATAATATTGTGAGGTCTTGATCTCTGTGAAGTGCTGTAGAGAACTTACGGTGTCAGCTGCCACTATATAAATACATCTGAATTGAACTGTAATAAATGAAGTTGAAAAAATATTCAAAACACTTATCAACCACAGACTACAACCTGAATTATAAACATGCAGAGAAAATAACGCCTATCTCAGTGTCAATCCAAAGTGAAAATTACTTATGAGTTTTACAGTTATACCTAATAAAAGCAGCCAATGACTGAAGCAGTCACACCAGAATATTAATGGACAATATTTTCAATGAACCCTTTATCAAGAAAAATGACAGTGAATTTTTGCTGTTATTCTCTGGTTTCTATTACTGCAAACTGAATTACTGGTGTTGGGGTAGTAACTTGAAGATTTTTCTTCTGAAATCTTTCGGGCTACATCTTAATTCAGTTATTATTATTGCTTGACTTAGATAATTTATTGATTGACCTCCAGAAAATCAGACAGTTTCTGGACATGTTTTTTGCTCCTGCCACATTTTTACGCTCTGTGGCCTCATTTTTCACTGCAGTATAAACATTATACACTCCTGCACCTCTTTGGAAACAGCACAACCGTGACTAGAAGTAGAGAGAACTCAAAAATGTTTTCTGTGCAACAAGACACAGTTGATATGCCATAAATCTTAACAAAGAAAAAAACAAAATTTGAATTTCTTTTGATCTTTGTATTGCAAATATTAAATTAAAAAAAAACAACAACAACCCTGGAATCAATATGTACAATATTTTTCCAAGTGCTCACAGGTTTTACCAAAACTGGAAAAAATGGTGACTCTACATACTCTAGATCTATGAACACTCATGTTTTTAATTTGTTTCCATATTTGTCTCCTATCTGCTCTGTGTAAACACTGCCTGCAGTTCAGCCGAGTGCTAACATTGTAGTTATGTGACTATGGGTTGTAGTTGACTCACTAACTCACTCACTAGTATATTCACGTTTTCACTGAAGAGTGCAGATTTTTTTGTTTGTTTTTCAAAGAATCTGGTTCTTGCAAAGAATAACATTTCTTTTCTTTTTTTTTTTATTAAAGGCACATGTAGACTAAGGTTATTTTGATGAAATACCACAAAATAAACAGAAAGGTACAAACCAGGGGATAAGTTCAACGGCCATAAAAAAAAGTTTAATTTTTTTACGTTTTTATGTTTTCTGGTTCTGACAGATATAGATAATTTTTGTGGGGGATTAAAAAAAAATCTTTGACTTTCAAACCCATCAATGGGTTTTGGTGTTCAAGCGGTAAAGCTATCATTTAGATTAGTAAAAGATTAATGTCCATCTATACAGATGTTTTCACTGATTTGTCTGACTAGACTTCTTTTCAGGAGCGTAGAAGCTATACAACCTAACCAATAACTACATGACTACACAGTGTGCATTACATTTGCTATTCTATCATTCTGCGATATTAGTATTCATGTATTTAGGCCTATCTTCCTGCATCATTTTGCTTGCTCTTCTCCGGTACCAAACAGCTTCTCTGCCCTGGGCTCTGGCAAACCATGTGAATCAATTTCTTCTAAGCAGCTGATAATAACCCACATTAGCTCCTTTATCTATATTCCCACATGCACCAACAAACAGAACAAAGAGATCCTCCGAGGCCAAATTAATTGCTTCACAAGGTGCTGTGATCTATTTGCTAATTTGAGATGGCCGCCCTGAGGAGGAAGGATCAATACAGCAGGACGCGAGGAAACTGCGACGTCACTTAGGCATCAGCGTCGTCAATTTAATCCGGTGGAGGGGCTTCACGAGTGGAGACGTGCCACACGCACCCGCAGACGTGTTCTCCAAATCGCTTGCACACATTTATTATGCATTTCTGCTCATTGTGTTTTAATTGGACTAGATTTAAAGTGGTGAAAGGAGGGAAAGAGACACACATCAGCATTAAAGCATAAAATCACAAAAGGAGAAGAGAGAGTGTGCAGAACCTCAGCTTTAAGTTTATTCATTTAGAACATCCTTAACTTCAATATAATGGAGGATTTAATTTAGCAATGTAAATTAAGCACATGAGCACTTTATTACAACTTGGTTTCCACAAAGGTAACACATCAATAATTAAAGAAGTTATATACTCAGAAACGGCGAGCTAAACCTGGTGCTAATGCACCCACTGCTGTGTACATATGATTAGAATTCATTTTCCCATAATTGAAGTATTTTGTTCAGTCAAGCCGCTGCCCAAAATGCTGAGTGTGAGAGACTGACCAAACATACTGAACAAAGCTCTTACAGGAGGCTGTTTATCTGTGCAACCTGACGTCCTCTGATAATTAATGATTGATTATGTTATGGTGAAGTGTTCATTTATTCAGGATTTTACCAACACCCCGAAGAAATGTTTGTGCTGCAATGACGCAGCAGGCAGACTGTGTCAAGGAGCTGCAGCTTGAGCAATAAGGAAGACATGAACATTTGAGTTAAAGCCGGTTTATAACCGCGCAAAAACTGGACTGAAATTTTGTTCTTTATTGTCTTAGTGTGGCATGCAAAACATCCTAAAGAGTTAAAGAGCCCATATCCTGCACATTTACAGGTTGATTATCTAGTTTTAGGGGTTTATTAGCATATTTTTACATGCTTTCATGTTCAACAAACGCATATTTTTTTTCATACTGCGCACTGCTGGAGCACGTTTTCTCACCATCTGTCTGAAATGCATTTAGCTCCTGTCTCTTTAAAGGCCCCCTGATTGGTCAGCTGGCCTGACAAAAGCAAAGCGACTTTGGTTATGCATTGTGACAGGACGGAAACAATGGTAGACTGTAAGGAAGCTGCTCATTCTTTGTTTGAGGGCGTGCCAAACTAGCTGCCAGGCAGGCGTTATGCAAATTTGTTACATGGTGACAGAGATAAGTAACAGGAGAAAAGCCTGGACTTCTAATGAGGTATTTCAAGCAGGTAAAGAGCAGGGATTTTTGTGGGAGAGAGATATTTCCCTTTAGTGTGGACTTTGGGCTTTATAAGTTTGCAGGCCTGCTATGTGAACTAAAAAGCAGCTTTATAACACACTAAATAAAGAGAAAAGCCCAAAAAGTATTATATGGGCTCTTTAACGTTATAATACTTCCTTTGCTTAGAGTCTTTCACTCAACTTATTTCCAGGAAACCTTTATGTACCCATCCATTTCCGACACCTTATATGCACAGACTTCAAGTTCACCTACATGATGCTTGCTACTGTAGTGAAAAAGTGTTTAAAGCGTTAAAAAGCAGTCCATTGCTGGCTGCAGAGTTGGGTAATTAACGAGGCACACCTTTAATAAGGAGCTCAGACAGAAAGCCTGGCAGAGGTGTCCTTGAGCAAGTCATTACCGTAAATCGTCTTTGAAGCTGACCTCTTACCTCTGAGAGAAAGAGTAAAAGGAGATTTTCTCCACACAGATTAATAAATGTTACAAAGCCGCCTTCTAGCTTTGTTATGTCCCTCTATCCAGGGGGCG